TTTTTTTTGTCTTTTTGAGACAGGATCTCCTTGTAGCCCCAGCTGTCCTGGAACTCACTATGTAGACCAAGCTGGCCTTGAACTCACAAAGATCCACCTGCCTCTGCCTCCCAAGTGCTGGGATTAAAGGCGTGTGCCACCACCCCCGGCATTTGCCATGTTTTGTAAGTGTGCTTAACATAAATGTCAGCCACAGGCAGACCACATAAGCCAAGTGTTATCTGCAGGATACACCTGGACAGGAGTCGGGGGCCAGTGCATCCCAGCCATCACCTGCCCTGGAAGCCTCTTAGACTTGTTAAGATGGTGCAGCTGTGACCAGTGTCATACAATATGCATTTATCAAGAAATTGAAGCCATATCAAGAATTGAAGACCAGCAAATTTGCATGGGCTTCTGCTACTGCAAGTCCAGCGTTTACAACAGTGATTCTGATATTTTAAGCATTTCTAACTTGCCTCTGCCCACAAAATTCAGTATTTAAATTTTGTCTTACATCTTCTCAGAAGAGATAATGTGTCCTTGTTGATAGTGTTTTTGCATATGGTATCATCCACCTGGAATGCTTGGGATCTTGGGGCTCTGAGCTGCTCCCTTTCATGCGTAGTCACTTTGGACAGATATGGCCCATAGTTCCCAGTGGACCTGTGATACTTCACAGGTCGCCGTGTCGGCTGCTAGAGCATGCACTTCAGCACTCCTGTCAGGGCACATCTAATCTATATGTGAAAAGAAATTGATGAAGCTCTTTCTTTGCTCCACACATAGAAGTACTGTTGGTACTTTATCATCAGTAGTCACATTCAAATTTTAAAACTGTAAATTTTCAGGTACTACAAATAAAGGAGAAACTAAAAACTGGCATGGTAAGCAACTACTTAAGACACTTTAAAAGTCCATAGGAGAGTCAACCAGTATTCATGCTGACAGGCCTGGAATTTTAATGCTTACCTGGGTCCCCGGAAGAAAGCCAGGCTCTCTGTTCCTTTGACTTTGGGCCATGTGAGTAATAAGCTGTTTGCTTAACAAACCAACAACACAAAGTATCCTGAAACAAATAAAGCTGTTAAGGTCCCAGGCAGAAGCAATTGGAAGACTGTCATAGAGATGCTTCTACAACTTGGAATCCTTAAGACTCTATGGAAGATGAACTTACAGTTTAGCTAAAAGCATACAATGAAGTAAACTACTATGAGAGAGAGCCAGCAAATACAACTGGTGGTTACTCACATCGGGAACTATAGGTCATAATGTACTTGGAAAGAGACACCAAGTGTGTATACACCAAGAAATAAACAACGACTAGAGAACAGAACCATAAGGCAGAAGTAGACACCATCATAATAGACAAGGCAGATTTGAAAACAAAACACCATCGCTAGTAAATAAAAAGGTTATTGTAACTTATAAATACCAGTATTTTTTTCATCCAAACTTTAGTCACTGTAATTGTTTAACCAGAGTGTATATGTTTATTTGAAATAGAATGGAATTTTCCAGTGTTGACAAATGCAATAATAAAATAATGCCATGTTAGCTTAATAAACATTCTTTTCCCTTAAGGAAATCTGACAAAACACATGAAGTCCAAGGCACATAGCAAGAAGTGTGTGGATTCAGGCGTCTCAGTAGGCTTGATAGATGAACAAGACACAGAAGAATCAGGTAAGGCTCTACCACGTATTTTTTCATAATGCTGTCTACAGTGAACCATTTATCTTGTATGCACACTCCTTTCTCCCACTTGATACTGCTGAACCCATTTCCTTACCTCTTATTTACATATACTGTAAACTCCTGATCAGTTCTTCCATCTCATGTTTTATACATTTCTCTCCCATCTTCCTGTGAGAGAACAAGTCAGCTGACAAACTGAGTCCACACTTAAATGTTGAATTAACTTTCCTGAAGGTGTCTGATCACACTGCTCCTCTGGCTAGTTTTTTATTGGTACCTTTTTACCATTATAAAGTGTAAATCAAAGTCCTTTGTAATCAGTGACCTGCCTACTCCTTCCTTCACTCTTCCCTTCTCTTACTCTTACCCAGGCCCGCTGCTTACTCTTATTCGCTGCTGTGACAGCCTTCCCATAGCACCCCACCCTCCTCATTCATTTGTGCCCCAAGTCTGCATGGGTCTCACTGCCTATTTCTTTACTATGTGGCAACCAACACACTGCAGTTAAGAAGCCTTCTGAGATTTTCCTTACATGACCCTTGCAGGAAACATTTTTCCTTTCCCCAACCTCCTGGTTCTTTGGAGTTTCCTCTCTGCAGGCCTTTAATCCCTGTCTTCCTTCTGGAGTGTTTCCTTATCTCCCCACTGAGTTGACACAGCCCAGCATGAGCTAGCAGTCAGCCTCACTGTAGTACTTAGCTCAGGGCACAGCTTCTGCTTCTTCTGTTGGCCGAGGCTGGGAATGTGGCTCAGTGGCAGAGCGCCTACCTGCCTAGCATGCCTGAGGTCTTGGATTCGGTCTTAAACCCCCAGCTCTTCCTCAGGAAAGAATAAGAAAAAGGCACCATAAGGATTTGAAGATAAATCATTCTGCTTGTTGAAAACGTTTATTGTTTTACAAATGTTAACTTTTTTCCTGTTACTTCAACAAATATATTTGTTTTTGACCATTTTGTTGGCAAAATAAACCTTTTCATTTGTTCTGACCAAACAGAACAGAAATACATGTTTGTAAATTTTCTGTTTTAAATCAAGAACTTACCAACGAGCGAATTTATCAACTCATTTAATCCCACCTTACAACAATGACAGTGAATGAATCACCCTGAATTAATTTCTAAACGTGTAAGAGAAGTGACTTGGGTAGTAAGAGCTGTTCAGATGTACAACGCCAGGAGGTTGTAGTAAGTGTACTCACCAGCCACTGACTAGAAAGGTGTGCAGTGAAGGCTGGAACAGGAACTGCTCATGCCGGAAAGCTTGAGCTGTGGCGGCCCCACCACCATGCACTGTTGTTCTCTTCAGTGAGTCTTAGGAGCGTGCAGGAGCATCTGCAGATGCCTCTGGACTATGGAGGGAAGGTGGTCCTTAACATCCTAAGTCTGTGAAGAAGTGAACGTGGTTCCAGGAACTACAGTACCAGGTTGGGTGGCTGGCTCGCCCCTACATGGCTACCCATTCGCTTGTGTATTTTCCATCTCGTCCCAAAGCTGGTCTTAGGTTATAAGTCAAATTTTATGGCCTGTTTCCCTATTCAAAACAAGGTTCTTTAAAAAAAAAAAAAAAAAAAGAAAACAAAAATTAGTTGGTATTTTTTAAATTTTTAGATTACTATGTTTATAGGAAGTATACTCAAGTTTTCTCCCCCAGGTTGTTTGTTTGGTTTTGGTTTTGGTTTGTTTATTTGTTTTTTAGTCAGGGTATCTCTGTAGCCCTAGCTGGCCTGGAACTTGCTATGTAGACCAGGCCGATCTCACAGATCCTGAGTGTGGGGATTAAAGGCATGTGCCACTGCTCCCAGAACTCTGCTCAGTTTTTCTCAGGTAATAGAACACAACACACAAGTGCTTAATCCCGAGATCCATGTCTTGTGGGGGCCCACAGTTCTCCATTGTTTTGCCAGCAAAAAATATCCATCTTGCTTTATTCCAGGCTTGAAGTGTGTAGGTATACATTAAGTAGTTACTTCAGACAAATGATCTTGTTCCTTTTATTATCCTCTTTGCCCATTTAACAATGTCCTTAGCTTTCTTAAATATGAAGATAATACAGCTTTCGGGCTTGAACTTGTCTGTGTTCATCCCAGAGATGATGTCTATAAATATTTTCTCATATGTGATTCATCCATCTCATAAATTGTGTTTTTAAAAGCCTCATACACAAGGTTCTGCTCCCCTCGACTCCATTCTAGCCCCTCTCCTCTCCCCTTCACAGGGGGTACCATGAACAATACCACTTTGCATGTAGATACATGAGTAGTATCTGTTTTTTCTAATGTTACTCTTTCTGGAAGAGGCTTGCCCACGGCTCTTTAGCATACTCTTGTCTGAATTTATATTTGGGGTTAATTTTGTAGATTTTTGTTATCTGCATGTTTTCTTAATGAGATGAAGTTTGGTCTCATTTTTTCTAAAGAACTTTTATTCCATTAAGTTGATAAGTTACAAATGGGATTTGTATGTGTGTGGGTGTGAGTGGGTAATGGTGTATGTTCATGTGTGTTCTTGTAGGGAGGCCAGTAGAAAAAGCCGGGTGTCCTGGCTCTGTCACTTTATCCTTATCCCTTGAGACAGGGTCTCACCGAACCTGGAGCTAGACTGGCAGCCAGCAAGCCCAGCCATCCTCCTGCCTCGTCCACCACCTTACACCATAGGAGTTGTAGGTGTGTGCAGCTGGCTTTTTCTGAATGTGCTGGGACCTGAACTAAGGTCATGTAGGAAGCACTCTTAGAGACTGAGACTTTTGCCCATCAGTTTTCTAAATGCTCTGTGTTTGAGGCGCAGGGCACAGAAACTTGGTGTGGTGCTGTGTGTAGGCTCTGCCCATTTTCAGTCTCTACTAGCTTAGTAGTAGGAACACCTACTGGGTGTTCTGTCCTCTCAGCTGGTTCCTCGATCTCTCCAGCCTCTGCACACGTTCCCCAGGCCCATGGTCTCTAACCTCCTCTCCACCCTCTCCTTACTCACCCCTACAGGTCATCCCCTCTAGTCTTCTGACCTTGAATACTGTTTGGGTGCAGGTGACCGCTCACGTTAAGTTTGCCTACTAACCATCTCTGCTTGGATGTCTAACAGGCATTCAAGTTTGATGTGGCCCATACTCTCGATCTACCCAGTACCTAAGAGGTGCACTCCCCCTCTGGTTTTCTCTTATCTGTCACCAGAACTCTTGGTGTTGTCTTGATGGCTGTCCTTTTCTCATTTTGTCTCTAATATAACAGTAAGACCTCGTGGTGCTTCCATCCAAACATCTTCAGATTCCTGGCATTTGAGTCTCCACCTCACCATCAGTGCTTCTGTCATCTGCACTCAGTGGCTGCCCCGAGTGCTGTCTGGTTCTGCCCTGTCCTTCCCACATGTTTTGCACAAAGCAGAATGCCATCTCACGTTCCCATCGCCATGTCTGAGGCTTGGCTCCTGGCCTTCCTTCCTTTACTCACTCAGCCCCAGCCATATAGGCCTGGATCTTCCCTGAACACACCCAGCAGGTTTCTGTCTGGAGGTCTCTGCACTTCTGCAGTCTTTCCATAGTTGGGGATGCTCCCACTGGACACTGACATGCATCATGTGGCACCTGCCGCTCTGTTCCCTTCTCAGCAGGGCTTGCTTTGAGCCTTCTGTACAGTTAAGAAAGCCCCCCATTCTGCGGCCAGCATTGCTTGTGCCCCTTCTCCTGTTGGCATTTTCTCCCTCTTCATATTTTTGCCAGCAGATGTGGGTATGTGCGTGTATGCCCACTTGTTTATTATCTGTTCCTAACAAGATAAGTTAAAAAAAGATAGGGATTTTGTTTTGTTCAGTGCCTACCAATAGTGGGTAGTAAACACTTGTTGATTGAATTGATGATTAGGAAAAAATGCTACATGATCCAATAGGAAATAATTCATTATTAGTACTTTTATAATTTGAAATATTTCTTTTCCATTTAGTTCCTTCTGTAAAGTTCGTCATTGTAATACACTGTTTAATACCTTCATTATCAGTGGTGTTTGTGCTGCTCTAGGTTAATACAGGTATCATTAAGATGATGGAGGTATGTCTTTTTTAATTTGCTGTTGATCGTTGGATGGTCCAGAACTTTTAAGCCTCTAACTATTCCATTTTCTTATCTCTGATGATCTCTCCACATTGATAAAGATCTGTCCCAATTCTCAGTAACTCCTGCAAAGGAAATTTGTTCTTTCTGACTGTTCACAAACACTGGGGGCATTTCAAGGCAGAGCAAGTCCAGGCCTGAGCATTTATAATAGTCCATTCTGTAGGAGACAGTTTTCCCTAATTTACTAAATGAAGTACAGGATTTTCAGATTAGTCATTAAACATTTATGCATGGATGTCACAAGAAGAAATCATAAGTTTCCCACTCAAAGGTTGAATTTCTACCTGGCATTGAATAAGGGGATATAACACCCTGAGGTGTTTTGCTCACAGAAGTATCTACCCACTGAGAAACGCTTTGCTCTGTAATGTTAAGATGATCGCTACTGAGGCTGGAGAGATGGCTCGGTGGCTATGAGCACTGGTTGCTCCTGCAGAGGACCCAGGTTTGGATCCCAGCACCCACATGTTGACTCAAAACCCTCTGTAACACCAGTTCTAGGGAATCTGATGCTCTCTCCTGGCCTCCATGGTACACTTGCATGCAGGCAAAACACTCTTACAAATAAAATAAAAATAAATAAATCTTTAAGATTGTCACCACTTTATAGGACAGTCTTTATGAACAGCAGTAATATCTATCATCACCATCACGATGAATAAACGTTCCTCAGTAATGAACGTTCCAGGGTCAGAGATGAAAGCTGTGCTGTCTTTTGTCGCCATGGTTCTTTTGAACATTTGAGAAAATAAATTATGCAGGATACAAGCCAGGTATAAATGATCCTAAATAGGCTTTAACTGACTTCAATTGATACAAAAGTATGACAGTCAACAAAATAAATCCAAAACAGACTTTGTTAAAGAAACAACATAAACTTGTTAACTGTT